TGCGTATGTGCCAGCAAAGCCGTGGAGGCCATTTACCCACTGTGCTATTCCCTACATAACCCTATACTGTATACTTTATGAATCAATAAAAAATTTACAATTTTTAATTATAAACCTGTGTTTTCTATCAAAATTACTTCTTGCGTGAATTTTAGGACACCCTTTACCACCTACAAATCTGTTCGAGCAAAACCAATGACTAAATCCACAGAACCTGCCCTGTACCTGGCTGAATTTACACCTGCTTCCTGGGCTTTTCCTTCTGGAATGCCTTCCTTAAAACTCAAGGCACATTTCAAATTCCATCTTCCCCATGATCACACAATAAAAAGTCACAGTTCTTATGCTGACTGCTCCTGTGCTGCTGGTTAGATATGGGTATTAAAGGGCCTTTTCCCCAGCTGGATTTGAAGCTCTTGGCAGGGACACTGCTTTATACAAAGCTTTCTACCTACCCATCTCAAAATACATAGAAAGCACATTGTATTAAAAAAGTGCTCTATATAGGTTTGCTGAATAAGAAAACCCTTTAAGACGTTCCTTGTCCAGCCAGCGTTGCTCAGTGGTTGAGCATTGACCTATGAACCAGGAGAATGCCTCTGTAAAAGCAAAGAGATGGGATCTGAATTCACAGTTTGATTCCCAGTCAGGGCACATGCCCAGGTTGCAGGCTCGATCCCCAGTATGGGCTGTGCAGGAGGCAGCTGATCAATGATTCTCTCTCATCATTGATGTTTCTATCACTCTCTCCTTCTCCCTTCCTCTCTGAAATCAATAAAAACATATTTTAAAAAAAGATGTTTCTAAATATGTATACACACTTGTGAAATAAAAGTATTCTAAAGAGTTCTGCGATTAGTCAGATCTAATATCTTGGTCTATTTCCATAGGACAGTTGCCATATATTCCAACAGGTCTACAGCATACATACAAGGACTTTGGAGTCTAGAATATCTGGGTTTGGCTCTCATCTATGTTACTTATTAGCTACATGACTTTGGGCAAACTACTTAATCTCTCTGGGACTCAAGTTTTTATATCTGTAAAATAGGGATAATATAATCCCTACGCTGTGATGTTACTATGAGGACTGGAAACAATATACAAAATACTATATGAAAGCACCAAACATAGGATCAATCATGTTGTTTGTTTCCAATACTAGAAGTTACATTAAGACTGTTTTGTTCTCAAGGCAATAAGCTCCAGGAGGTTTTTATTTTCTCCCTGGCACCTACAAGAACTGAATGCACATCACCATGAGAATCAGCCTAGATTAGACTTATAAACTATTATTTCCGCCAAGCAGTGGTTTTAGGAGCCCCATCCCTGAATATGTGGTCTGTAAACAGTTCCCTACCCTAAGGCCTGAACTTCTAGGGGTTGTGCCATTGTGTTACCCAGACTGAGCCTCCCTTCTTTATCTTTCACTCTAGTTTCCTGCCAGAACTAGAGTCTAAAGTCCTGATCAATCCACATTCCTGGAGACTGGATCCTGCTTCCCATTGTCTCAATATTTCTAGGCCCTACCTATATCAGCTTCAACCTGGATGAATATTTAAACCACATCTACATCATTTACCAAGAGTGCCCCCAAATCTCGGTCTGGCTTTTATCACATCCCACCCGCACTCCTGTTAATTAACATCAGGTCAGATAAATCTGAATTCACTACTGCCCTATAGATGCTGTAATCTGCACTGGTAGCATAAGGGTCATCTTAGATGATTGTCAGGACACTTTTATGAGATTAATTCCATAAAGTTGCACTTATTCATTATCTCCATAGATCTCCCCAACAGCTACCTACCTAACACCAAAACTGAAGTGTGCAGAATCAAGGGGAAGGCAGTGTATTTCCTAAAACAGCTCCTGCTCCAAGACACATCAGCCATGCCAGGAGAATTGAGAAAGTGGTGGTAGTAGTAAAGATACAGGGAAAATGAGCTTGCTTAACTAGTGATTTTCTTATCATTTTCAGGAAGAGATAAGAGCTTATTATCTCCAAAGAAAATATGCTTGTTTTTAAAAATTAGTTGTACTTTTACTAATCAATACAATTGTAAGTAATAAATCAAAGTGGATAATAATGAAAATAATTTGATTCCCATGGACTTACTCTTCCAGGAACCAAAGGGATAGTAGCTTCAGCCTTGGTTCTCTCGGCTTCGTCATAACTGGGCAGTGTGGTAGCCACATTGTAAGATGGGGGCTTTGGAAACCCAGACTCGTCTTTGTAGTCAAAATACACTGCAGAATTAAAAGGAAGTCACAATTATCTGATGATTAGCTGAACGGAAGGAAAAAAAAGATTTCCACTAACTCCGGCAAATAAAAACCAGGCACTCCTCTAAGAGCACATGTACATAATTGAATCAAAAGATGTTTATAGATGAATATAAGAGTGGGAATGATTTTTAAATTTATCTACTTCTCACCCGGTTGCTGTGACTCAGTGGTTGAGTATCAACCTATGAAACAGGAGATCACCGCTGGGATTCCTGGTCAGGGCATATGACAGGGTATATGTAGGGGGCGTGCGAAAGGCAGCCAAACAGTGATTCTCTCTCATCATTAATGTTTCTATCTCTCTCTCCCTCTTCCTGCCTCTCTAAAATCAATAAAAATATGTTTAAACAAAAAGAAAGAAAAAACAACTTCAGGTGAAATGCAGATGTAAATGGGAAATATAAAATATTAAATCTTTTAGAAATAAATACAGGAAAACATGTTATTTAAACTAAATCTGCCACCTAAGAAACTTGGGTTTTTTTTCCCCAAGTCAAAATAACTATTTAACATACATACATAAATATACATATACTAGAGGCCCAGTGCACAGATTCGTGCACCGGTGGGATCCCTTGGCCTGACCTGCAGGGATTGAGCCGAATCCGGCAGTCCAACATCCCCGGAGGGGTCCCAGATTGCGAGAGGGCACAGGCCAGGTAAAGGGGCCCCCCCGGTGCATGAATCCGTGCACCAGGCCTCTAACATGCATATAAGATCTTCAGTTAATCTCTTCCCACGCTCCCCCCTCCTCTCTGAGATTCATCAGTCTGTTCCATGTTTCCATGCCTGTGGTTTCCACTCCTGCATTGAGGGTCTGCCCCTGGTGGTCAGCATCTTAGCTACCGCACGGTCAGCCGGTCACTTAGGCTTTTATATATATACTAGAGGCCCAGTGCAAAAAAATTTGTGCACGGGGGGGTGGGGGGGGTGAGTCCCTCAGCCTGGCCTGTGCCCTGTGCCCTCTGGCAGTCTGGGACCCCTCAGGGGATGACCACTTGCTGGCTTAGGCCCACTCCCCGGGGGATCGGGCCTAAGCTGGCAGTCAGACATCCCTCTGGCAGCCCAGGAGTCCTCGGGGGATGTCCACTTGCCAGCGGGGACCAGGCCTAAGCTGCAGTTGGACATCCTTAGCGCTGCTGAGGAGGCAGGAGAGGCTCCCGCCATCACTGCTGTGCTAGCAGCCGTCAGCCTGGCTTGTGGCTGAGCAGAGCTCCCGCTGTGGGAGCACACTGACCACCAGGGGACAGCTCCTGCATTGAG